TGTGCCAGAGATCTGACTAGACAGATAATCACAGTGATCTCTTGTGGCCTTGGAATTCCCCAATCTATGAAATGTCTGGCTCTGAAGAGGAGTATGGTCTATGGTTACTGACAGCATAGCCAAGCATACAGGTTTGCCAGTGAGCCTTTGGATGAGACTTGGATCTGAGACAGAGACAGGAATTCATTCCCTGCTCTCCTGGAATAATGCTGTGCTACTTCTGTGCAAAATCTGTAAACCAATGAGAATGATGCTCACTATGCTCTTCAACACACCAACTCAATAATAAGGACTATATAGTGCACAGAACTCACAATACCCATTAATGGAATGTTCTCCCCCCCCCCCCCCCCCCCCCCCATTGCTGCTGCTGCTCCTTCATCCTCTCAGGAGCTTGAGCTCTGTGCATGGGCCCAGCATGTAGGAGACTGAGTGATCCTTAGAAGCACCCTTAAAATCATAAGATACTAGAACTGAAAGGAACCTCAAGAAGTCAAAGTCCAGTCCCCCGCACTCAGGGTAGAACCAAACACCATCTACACCTTCCCTGAGAGGTGTCCGTCTAACCTGCTCTTAAATATCTCCAGTGAAGGAAATTCCACATCCTCCCTAGACAATTTATTCTAGTGCTTAACCACCCCGAGAGAAAGTATTTCCTAATGTCCAATCTACACCTCCCTTGCTGCAATTTAAGCCCATTGCTTCTTGTCCTAGCCTCAGAGGTTAAGGAGAATAATTTTCCTCCCTCCTCCTTGTAACATCAAGATGCAGATCAAGGTCAGCAGGACTGGAAATATATTCAGTGCAGATAGAATCTTCAGAGATTTTTGCTGCAAGCCTCTAAAAACCTTTACTGGATTGGTGCATATGACAATTCAGAAGCCTAGAACTCTGTCAATGCTGGAAGGAGTCTCAGGAAGTCCTCCAAAAGCACCTCCCTCATTAACACCGTTTCTTCACCAAATTTCAAGTTCCTGCTCCAAAAATACAGACTGCTAAAACTTTCCAGTTAAACGGCTGGATGTATTTTCTAAACACAGGGAAAGATTGTTTTACATAGTCTCATCCTTTCGAATGGCTAAACCAATCAGGGATTCCAGAAATAACTACAGATTGAATCTTTCTGGTCCATGATTCTCTGGTCTGGCAACATCCATCAGGACCATGGATGTTGCTGAACAAGAGCACCCTGGTGAGGGCCGGTAGCGAAGCCAGGCTGGTGGCCCAGAGGCAGGGAGCTTGGCAGCCGGGGGAGGTCACTGGGGCTGACAGCTATTGAGGTCTGTTTGGAATCTGTCAAATGCCAAATCAGGGAGGTCCTACTTGTAGTGCGCAACCCTTTGCTCTACCCATCTGCGGCTCTCTTTCCATCTTTGATCAATTTTACTTCACTCAAAAGCCTTGTGGAATGAGCAGTGTCTCAGGAAGTCTGGTCATGTTGCCAGCAGTTAACTTGTGTGGCTAATGATCCAACAGATCAAACCTACCTGGACTTGTGCTTTCTGTGATTGGTTATTAGGCATCCTACTAGATCTTGTTCTTTCCACTTCATGCCTATGAACCCACCCTCGAAGTTCATGATTTAACCTGTAAAATGCAACATTAAATTAGGCAGGTCTTTAAAAAAAGGTGTCAAAATGTCTTGGGTTTCAAGCAGCATTTTAACAGTCCACTTGGAAATTCTCATGATTTAATGTTAGGTGGTTTTTCATCTTAATGTTTTATATTGTATGCCTTTTTACACTGGTGCCCGAGCGTTAATCACAAGCTCAAAGAGAATTCATAGCTAAATATCTACTACATGTTAATTTTGGACTGGATTTTTCCACCTACAATAGTTCCTACATTCAACTAAACAAACATAAATCCTGAAAGCAAAGGGGGAATATTGAGATTTAAGTCACAAGTCTACCAACTCAAGAACAAACCTGGGTGAAATACTCAATTTAATTGAGAGTAGAGGTGAAAAAAGAAGAAAAGAAAAAACACGCAGTGATGGATTCACGTAGCTGGACACCGCACAATTCCAGCTCCAGATGCATGGGATGTCTTGAGCTGTGAACCCACTGGATCCTGAGCTCAACCTGGTAAGCTGCTGGCATCTGGTCTGAGAAGCTAGTAGGACTAAGGACTCTGCCAAGTGCCATCAGACTGGAGGGTCGCCCAGCTACACCAATATAGGTCCATCCAGACTCTGAGCCAGGTGGCACAGGAAGTTTACCCAAACAAAGTGTTTTCCTATTACGGCTGTATTGGACCCTGCTTGCGCCTGCCTCCCACACTCAACCCGGTTCCTAATTCCCACTATGCTCCTGCCTTACCCCTACTCCCACCATGATCCTACTCCAGGCTTAATCCTTGCCTCTCCTCCTGTCCCAGTCCTTACACCTCACCTCCAATCATTAGTAACTAGTTCCGGCTCTGACCCTGGCCTCTGACTTCTGATCCCGATTCCAGCTTGATACCCATTCAGTATCGGACCTTGGTTCTGACTAGGAATGTGAACGACAAGCAAACGCTTATCGGACAGTCGACATGCTTGTTGACTAGTCACTTCTCCCCTTTGCTGCCTCTACCAGAAAGAGCCGGGGTGGCGGGGAGGGAGAGAAGGGGATGCTTCAATGCAACAGCGCTGCATGGACCCTGGGCTCCACGAGGCACTGCCACCTTGAAAGGTCACGTGGAGCCTGACATCAGGCTCCCCATGGGATTTCAAAGTATCAACACTGCATGGAGCCCTAGGTCAGCTAGGGCCCCAGGCTCCATGCAGTGCTGCTGCTTTGAAATGCCGCAGGGAGCACAGGGCTAGCAGGGGACTGCTTGAGTCCCCCCGCTGTCCCCATGCTCTCTGCAGCGCTTTCACTGCTAATGGAATAGTCAACGCAAATGGCAATTAATCAAAATTTTACATCCTTAGTTCTGACCACCGTTCCCTCTAAACTTTTTCATCCATGTGCAGAATAAATCTGAGGCATGTGTGAATATGCAGCACCAGTAGACACAAAACTTAGCTGTGGGTGCTCTACTGATCAGCTGGGCAGCATCTGAATCTCTCCTGAGTGGCCATAAACACGCACAGCTTACAGGGAACACTGGCTCTGACTCTCAGTTTTGTTTCCTGCATCTGATTCTGGTTTACCTCTGGCTGTCTAACTGGTAGTTAACTATGGAGCAGACTCCTTGGCTTGGTTCCCTTTTCTGGATGCCAGCTCCACCCACTAGACCTGAATCCTGCTCAGACTACTAGGTAAGAATCTACACCATGGTACAAAACAGCACACAGTTTTAACTAAATGTAAAAAGCTAAATCAGGTTTGTGTTGCCATTAATCACAATGCATCCAAAATGGATATAAACAAAAATCCAGGCACCTCTACAAATTAAAAAACACACACTGGGAAATCAATATTTGCTGACCTGAGAGACTCAGTCCGGTTGACCAGCGGCTGACAGGGTGGTGGAGAAACGTACAATAATGGGTCTTCTGTTACTACCATTAAGGCTTTGTTATCAGATACAGAACGTTCATATCTGGAAATAAAGACACCAAAATCCCTTCAAGTTTCTTGCCAAGTTCCTGCAAGGTTCTAGAAAACGACAATTTGCAACCAATAACTCAGTATTTTGTTCCCTCCTCCCTTAGGATTTCTGAAGACACAACACATGGAATCATATCAGCAATATCTTGGATTGGGAGCCACAAACAAAATTTGACCAGTAAGCCAAAAGTCTGCAGTGCTCGCTCACACACACACGCCAAAGAAGTTAGCAGTTTAACTGTTCACTTATAGTTATCTCCATGGGCCACGGAAGTTGTTTTGTCCCAAGTCCAGCACAATGGGGCCTGAGTCTTAGGGGCGACTGCAATACAAATAAGAGGATAAACCAGCACTCCGATTAGATTTGCAGATATCATTCATCACTTGCAAACCTTCTGCCCACAGCCATTGCTTTACGCCTACAGCACTGTGCTAGTAGTAGGTGGACTAGTGAATCTGGGTGACTGGTAGACAAAAAGACCTAGCCATGAAGAAAAGACAGTTACTTACCTCGTAACTGTTGTTCTTCAAGATGTGTTGCTTATGTCCATTCCATCTAGGGGTGTGTGCGCCCCGTGCACAAGTTCCAGAAGCCTTTTTGCCCTTAGCAGTACCCGTAGGGCCAGCAGGGGAGCCCCCTGGACTGACACCGGTATATCCTAGCATATAACCCCCTGCTGGCCCTCCACCCCCTCAGTTCCTTCTTGCTGGAGATTCTGACAAAGGTGGAGGTGGGCAGGATTGGAATGGACATGAGCAACAGATCTCAAAGAACAACAGTTACGAGGTAAGTAACCATCTTATCTTTGAGAGCTTGCTCATGTCCATTCTGTCTAGGTAATTCCAAGCAAACCCGTAAGGAGGCAGGTCAGAGCCTACAGCGAAACAGACTGCAGCACCACCTGACCTACCGCTGCGACCTGACTAGCTTGCTGTGTGATGGCATAATGCTTGGTGAAGGTATGGACTGAGGACCAGGTGGCCGTCCTGCATCTGTCCACGACCAGCACCTGGGCTAGGAAGGCCATGGAAGAGGCTTGGGCCCTAGTCGAGTGGACAGCCACCTTCCCCCTAAGACTGTAACCAGGGCTTGCCAAGTGGCAGCAAGCCCTGCTCACCAGTCGCGCGTTTCTGCGGGCTGTGCTGGCTTTGCGGCTTGTAATCTACTCGCCACAGGCAAGTAGATTACGTAATTTGTCGAGCCCTGATCGTAACAGGTCTTGATACACGATGTGATCCATGATGAAAGACACTGAGCGGATACCGGGGAACCCTTCATCCTGTCTGCTATGGAGACAAACAACTGAGTGGACTTGCAAAACAACCGCGTCCTAAGTAAAAGGCGAGACCCTCCTAACGTCCAGTGAGCGGAGCCCCCCTCTCCCATCCGCATGCGGCTTTGGGTAGAACACTGCAGGAAAATCTCCTGGGACACGTGGTACAGGGAAACTACCTTAGGGAGGAAAGTCAGGTGGGGGCGCATCGTCACCTTGTCCCTCGAAATCACTGTGTACGGAGGTTCTGAGGGGAGGGCCCACAGCTCCTGGCTGAGGTAATGGCCACCAGAAACGCCGCCTTCCATGAGAGGTGAGAGAGAACACGTAGCCAACGGCTCGAATGGTGGGCGCATGAGCCCCCGCAGCACCAGGTTCAAATCCCACTGCAGCACTGGCCATCGGATGTGGGGATATAACCTGTCCAGTCCCTTCAGGAAGCGCTTTACCATATCCTGTGCAAAGACCGACCTTCTGCCCTCTCCTTGGTGGAAGGCTGCAATGGCTGCCAGGTGTACCCTAATCGAGGAGGTGGGCAGCCCCTGGCCCAGGAGGTTGAGACGGTAGTCTAAAATAAGGGGAATAGGGGCCCTTTCTGGGGCTACCCCTTTCTGACTGATCCAAATAGAAAACCTCTTCCATTTGGCTAGGTAGGAGGATCTAGTGGAGGGTTTCCTACTCCCTGCGAGTACCCTCCTCACTGGGTCTGAGCAAAGGAGTGTTCCCCCCCCCTCAGCCACTGATCATCCAAGCTTTGAGGTGGCAGGATTGGAGGTTCGGGTGGCACAGCCGACCCTGGTCAAGCTCCTGAGTTAGGAGGTCCGGGACCATCGGCAGGGGGACGGGATCCGTGATCAACAGTGACATCAGAGTCGTGTACCAATGTTTCCGGGGCTATGAGAATGAGCGTGGCCCCACCCCTCTTGACCTGCATGACCACATCATGGATCAGGGGAAAGGGAGGAAAGGCATATAGCAGGCCCACTGGCCATGCCTCCACGAGGGCATCCCTCATGGACCCCTTGCCCTGACTCCTGTATGAAAAGAACCTGGGGCACTTCCTGTTGGCATGGGTTACGAACAGATCTATTAGGGGAGAGCCCCACCTGTGGAAGAGGGGGGTCTTCCACCTTCCCCTTGATCAACCATTCATGAGCCAAAAAGGTCCAACAGTCAGTCTGCCAAGGTGTGCATGACCCCGGCAGGTAAGTGGCCTGCAAATGAACCCCCTGCGCAATGCACAGATCCCAGAGAACTAGCACCTCCTGGCATAGGGTCCATCCTGAATTTTGACTTTCTTAAGAAGGCATTGAGCCCCCTTAGGTCAAGGATAGGGCAGAGACCCACCTTGGATTTTGGGATCAGGAAGTAGCAGGAATTGAAGCCCCTTCCCCGGAGGGACAGTAGGACCTCTTCTACCACCTCTAGGGAAAGCAGCAGGGAGACCTCCTGCCTGAGCAGGGACTTGTGAGAGGGGTCCCTGAAAAGGGACCAGAAAGGGGGATGGGAGGGCAGGGAAGAAAGGAACGGAATAGCGTATTCCCTGTGTACCGTGTCCAGTACCCAAGGGTCTGCGGTGATAGAGCACCAGGCCCAGTAAAAAGGGGATAATCTCTGGCGGAAGGGTGGAAGCAACTGGAATTCCGTTCCCGGGCACACCTTCAAAAGCCGGGCTTGGGCCCCTGGGACTTACTGGAGGACCCGGAGTTCTCTGTGACCTCCTCCTATTCCCCCTGGCTGTAGGAGCCCTAGGCCACCTCCTACTGTCAAATCGCGGCCCTTGCTGATAGCCCCTCTGTGGCCTCTAGCTGAGGGGACAGCGCTGCGGGGCCGAGGTGTGGATGCCAAGGGACTTTAAAGTGGCCCTGGAGTCTTTAAGGCTATGTAGCTTGCCATCCATTTGCTCCGAGAACAGCCTGGAGCCCTCGAAGGGGAGGTCCTGCAACGTCATTTGGACCTCCTGCGGTATGCCAGAGACCTGGAGCCACAAGCACCTATGCATAACTATGCTCATGGCCATGGCCTGAGCTGCTGAGTCTGCAGCATCCAGGGCGGCCTGCAGCGCTGTTCGCACAACTATTCGCCCTTCCGCCGTAAACATGGCAAACTCCCGCTGGGAAGCTTGAGGGAGCTGGGCCTTGAATTTGTCCACCGCCACCCAGGAGCTGTACGCATACCGGCTAAGCATCGCCTGCTGGTTTGCGATCCTCAGCTGTGGGCCCGCTGTAGCATATGCCTTGTGCCCCAGTAGGTCAATCTGCTTTGGCTCCTTACTTGTTGGAGTAGGGCCCCACAGTCCCTGCCTCTCCCTCTGGCAAGCAGCCTGGACCACAGAGATGCTCATGCCCAGACTGGTCTTAGTGGATTGTTCACTTTCAGTCCTTTCCATGCCCAGACTGGGGCATGAAATACCTCCGCTCAGCCCCTTTCTGTGTGCTAGTGTCTGCCATAAGGTTTTGGTTATCTTTGCCACTGTTTTATTCAGAGGGAGGGCGATCTTAGCCAGGGTGTCAGCAGTAAGAATGTCCACCATCGAGTCTGCCTCCTCCTTGACCGCCTCTGCCTGTATGCACAGGTTCTGTGCGAGGAGCCTGAGGAGGTCTTGATGGGCTCGCATGTCCATTGTAGGCATATGCAGAGACGGGTCTGCCAAGGTCTCATCCGGCAATGGGGACGAGGATTCCAGCAGCTGGGGTTGAACCACAACTGTGGCCATAGGATCAGCCCTGGGGCCAGGGCTCTGTGCAGGGCCTTCTGGGGGAGGCTGACGGAGTGCTTGAGCCGATTCACCTCTCGACCCTGAGGGACTACTTCTAGTCTCTGAGCCCAGGTCTCTGGTAAGCGGGGTGGCAGAGGGAGCAGACCTGCAGCTAGAGTGTACCATGGTCACCATGGACCCTGGTCTCGAGGGGTCAGGGCCTTGCGCCTGATAGGCCCACGGTGTCCAGAAGGGCCATTGCATAGGCAGCTGCCACTGAGGGGGCCACGTCTGGACCATAGGTGGGCTGCGATGCCCCAAGCGGTGCCAAGACGGGGACCAGTGACCTGATCTGGAGCGGCACGCTGACCTACGGGACAAGTGAGAGACCATGGATGCAACCGACCGTCGAGAGGAGGATGGCGAGACTAGAGACTCTGCATCAGACTCCGAAGAGTATTCCGACACCAACTGTGGGGTGCCGAAGACCCTTGCTCTCCTTGCGCCGCATGATGAACCATGGCTGCTGGTTTCCCTCTATAGGGTACGGGTGGTACCGGTGGGGGTGGCATGGCATTGTACTCCGGTGCCGGAGGGCGTGGTGCCACCAGAAGCGGTGCCGACTGCACGGGGAGAGGCGCCCTCCTCCATACTGCCTCCTGCACCGGAGATGCTGGTGCTGACGGTGCAGTGCCCGGCTCCTGCCAGGGTGATGGCTTGGGCGGTACCGGCTGCAATGCTGGAGCCAGCTTAGCCACATGGCTCTCGCGGCCTGCGTGCTCCTCCATGATGTGTGGTGCTGCACCTGGGGAGGCCATGAGCTCTATCAGCTCCTGGGCCGCGGAGAACGCCTCCGGCATGGATGGCCTTCGGATCTCCTCCATGGACAGGTCCTGGCCTCTTGGGGGTCCCAATCTCACCAGGCTCTTGAGGGCGAGTGCTCCGATCCCGCTTCCCCGGCAACCTTTCACCTCGTGCCCTCTTACTAGTTGACTGCACCAGAGATTGAGATGGTACCTCGGCGCCTGTTGCGTGTCCCTCGTTGACGCCGGTGCACTCCTTACTGATGGTGCAGGAGCCGGCACTGGGTGTTGAAGTGCAGCTGGCACGGGGAGCAGGGGGAGGGGGTTTGAGGTGCAGGACCCACTTCGTCAGATGCATGTAGTGCTTAAAGGACCTGCAGATCTTGCAGGTGTTAGTTAAATGGCCCTCACCGAGGCACTTCAAACAATCTTTGTGTGGATCTCCACGGGGCATGGGTTTAGAGCACTGCCAACAGGGCTTGAAGCCCTGGGTAGGGTTGCCAGGTGTCTGGTATTCACCTGGACAGTCCGGTATTTTCTAAATTTTCCCCCAGCTGGGAGGCAAAAATGCCGGGCACCTGGCAACCCTACAAACACTCAGCACCCAGCCTCTCCCCCTCCCCAAACCTCTCCGGCTCCCAACACCCCCAGACCTCCGACCCCAGGCCTCATGCTTACCTGGTTCCCCAAGGCTGCTGGCCAAAAGACTTAGGGGAAGCAATGCTTTCCCCTGGGTCTTAGTGCTCAATGCTAACCCTAACCCTGTTCCTATCCCTGCACTAACTCTTAAAGGGGACATGCTGTTTTATTTTTATTGGCTTACCAACCTCTCCGGCTCCCAACACCCCCAGACCTCCGACCCCAGGCCTCATGCTTACCTGGTTCCCCAAGGCTGCTGGCCAAAAGACTTAGGGGAAGCAATGCTTTCCCCTGGGTCTTAGTGCTCAATGCTAACCCTAACCCTGTTCCTATCCCTGCACTAACTCTTAAAGGGGACATGCTGTTTTATTTTTATTGGCTTACCTGGAGTCCCACCTTTTTCCCCTTCAACAGAATTGTTTCCCAGGTTTTTTTTTTTGAGTGTGGGGAGGGGAGGGGAGGGGGGGTGAGGGTGGGGGAGAAGGGTGTTCGGTATTTTTGTTTCAACCATCTGGCAACCTTAGCCCTGGGCGCCCCCTCCCCCCACATCCCCTCCTCCTAGGCCCAGATCTGCTCCTTAATCCCTTGCTTTGCAGCGTACACCCCTTCATATGGAAAGCTGACAGCAACTTTTTACCTACTATGCTGGAAGAGACTGGGAGCTGCTCTCTGAACTGTATGCAAGTCCAGTGGTGGGGACTGTCACAGGATGTGCTCAGCACCAGAACGGGGCCAGGCAAGGCCTGATGGAAATGCACATTAAAAGCCCGACACCACAGCAGCTTACTCCTGCTTTGCTGAGACATGTGCAAGCTCTCTCTCTCACCAGGGAATGCATGCACTGATATACCCGATTAAGGGGTTGGCTCATTTTTATATCTCAGTGTATCAAGATTAGGCCTTAAGAGGAATCTTGCTAGGCTGATCCTGTAACCACAGTATAAGAAGAATAAGCTTTCAAGGCACTCCATTTTTAGGTTTTGCTGCTCTAACAATGCTAACTTAACTCTGCCTCGTGATGCACAGGGAAATGGAAGTCAAGAGAGCAATGCATAATGAACAGCTAGCACTTTTAAACTGTAAATGTATTTGCCATACCTCTCCTTATTCCGAGGGATGACATCAGGCATTTGCTGAGCCACGTTGAGCTGGCTGGCTGAGAACCCCAGCAGATTTCTGCTCCGGTGGGAAAGGCTCAGACTGGGTTCAGCTCCACTGGGATCCCTTTCAAATACGCTGAAATTCAAAAACACATACCGTGACATCATATTCCATATTCTTTATGAAAATTTGCACGATACAAGTATGACATATCAGATAAACTTTATGCAAGATGGTACTTGTCAGGCATCATTGGAAATATGATTCACGGTATATGATTATCCCATTCATATGCCCAGGGCTTGACAAATCCGCTTATCTACTCACCCATGGCAATAAAAATGACAAGAGTATGGCACAACTGCCATATGAGAAGAGATTAAAAAGATTGAGTGTTCACCTTAGAAGAGAGACTACTAAGGGGGAATTTGCCAGAAGCCTATAAAATCATTACTGGGGTGAAGAAAGTGAATAAGAAAGTGTTATTTACCCCTTTCACATAACACAAGAACCAGAGGGTCGCACAATGAAGTTAATAAGCAGCAGCTTTAAAAACCAATGTAGAAAAATACTTGCTCACACAACACACAGTCAACCCGTAGAACTCATTGCTAGGGGATGCTGTGCAAGATTAAAGGTAAAAACTACCTCGTTCATTTTTTAATGCAAAGTTCTTGGGGAAAGGATCCATCAATGGCTATTAGCCAACATGGTCAAGAATTCAACCCCATGCTCTGGATGTCCCTAAATCTCTGTGTGCCAGATCACTCGATAAACTGTCCAGTTCTATTCATCCCTCGTAAGTACATGGCACCATCCACTGTTGGAAGACAGATACTGTTAGAGGGACCACTGGATTGACCCAATATGGCCATTTATGTTATTACGCAGGTTTGGTTTTCACTGACTTAAAGGGCTCAGCTTGGTTTTGATTGCCTGTTACAGTGAGATAACTAATGTAATTTCTCACTCTAAAATTCTAGCAGGAGACAGGGCATGTGCAGTGTTTACTGCATGGTATCTAGGGAAGGTCATCACTACACTCTGGCTGTGTCTACATTGGCATCCCGTTCCGGAAAAGGGATGCTAATGAGACACAGCCTCTATGTTCCTGGTTCACCCCTCCCAGTTTACCTCCACTACATTTCCACAGTGGTGTAACTAACCTAGGCTTGTTATTCCATGGAAAAACACCCCTTTTTGGTTAGTGAAGATAGAGCTGCAGTGCACTGTGAGGTCCTCATGTTCCACCTACCAGGAGTATGTTCTCTCTTTCCCCTTGCCTGAGGTGTTACTGACTTCCCAGTGTGTTTATAAAACATCTGAAGGAAATAAGGGCCTGCAATCTCTAAGTGCTGTGCTTAAGAGTACGAATGCAGAATATTAACGTTTGCAGAATGTACCAGCATATGAGCAATTTCGCTAACTGCAGCAAACACTTTGCTGAGAAGGACTTTGGTGGTCCAGGAGGTGGCAACTGTGTGTGTAGGGGGTCATTTGTCCAAGGTTCTCTATAGGACAAAGGTTAAGAAAGCTAGCATGCCTAAAAGAGTTCTTTTAAAAGAGAAAGTGGTTTCTCTGGTGTGGAGCAACTGTGTTCTTGCCTGAAGTCAGCTGCTGCTATCAACAGTGTTACGGGTCATACACAGTTGCTGGCTTCCTTTTTCTTCTATTTCATGAAGGTCAGATTGTTGAAAATCATGCACGCACTGAAACAGGCATTTTAAACCTTCTACTTTTTACTAATCAAGTGTCTGCTTTCATAAAAACAGAAGCACAAACTAAAACTGCCCCATTCCCCCGTCCCTCCCCCCATGCAGCAGAAAGGCTAGGATTTGCTTATTTTAGCTGTTGGAGCCTGGCTTTGTGGCTACGACATAGAAAAGTATGCCATGTCAGCAATGGCTGGGAACAGGCTTACTTGAACTTAATGTGGAAAAATTTCAGAATGGTCCCCACATGTACACCTATGAAAATGACAAGATAGGTATTGGCTCTCAGTCCCTGGATGGGAGGAGAAGGCAGGAGATCCATTTTTTTTCCTGTTACCTATTCTTACTGCTAGCAAGAAAAGCTCATCCTATCAGTCTGTAAAATTTATTCGAAAGTAGCACTTCCCAATGGGGAAAACTATTAGTGAGAAAAATGCAAGTTAATTGCCCTAAAAAGAACAACTTTAAAAGTGTATTCTTCTCACAAATCCTGTAACGTGTGTTAATTTAAAAGGTATATAGCTAAGGCTCTCCTACTGCAGAAGAAACTGACTGCCATATCTACATTATCATATAACCATAGAAAATTAGGGCTTGAGGAGACCTCAGGAAGATATCTACTCCAACCCCAACTAAATCAACCCAGCCAAGGCTTTGTCATACCAAGTCTAAAAACGTCTGAGGACATAGATTCTAGCCTCACCTCCCCCTCACAGGCAACCCATTTCAGTGCTTCATCACCCTCCTAGTGAAGTAGTTTTTCTTAATATCCAACCTAGGCCTGCAACTTGACACCATTGCTCCCGTTCTGTCATCTGCTACCACTGAGAACAGCCTGGCTCCGTTCTTTTTGGAACCCCCCTTGAGCTAGTTAAAGGCAGCTATAAGATCCTCCCTCACTCTTCTCTTCTGCAGACTAAGTAAATCCCAACTCTTCAGCTTCTCCTCCTAAGTCACGTGGCTCCATGTCCCAATCATTTTTGTTACTCTGCTGGTCTCTCTCCGATGCATTCACATCCTTTCCGTAATGGGGGCCTCAGAAGATGTGGCCTCACCGGTACTGAATAAAGGGGAATAATTACTTCTCTAGATCTGGTGACAATACTCTTACTAATGCACCCCTATACCATTAGCCTTCCTGGCTCCAGGCCACACCGCTGACTCATTCAGCTTCTTGTTCACTATAATCCCAAGGTCCTTTCCTGCTAGGGTGAAGAGATACTGCTTTTGAAAAATCAGCGTGGGGCACTCACACAAGAAAGTCCTGAATACCAGGACTGTCCCTATAAAAGGGAGACATCTGGTCACCCTATTTTCTGCAGAACTGCCGCTTAACAAGTTGGTCCCCAGCCTGTAGCAGTACTTGGGATTCTACAATCCGAAGTGCAGAACTCTGCACTTACCCTTGTTGAACCTCATAAGATGTTTTGGCCCAATCATTCAGTCTGTCTAGGTCACTCTAGACCAGAGTTTCCCAACCTATGGGTCGCCATTACATTTCAAAAGGGTCGCCAAGAGTCTCCCCAGGTGGCTCTACCCTCCCTCCTCCCCCCATTTAATTGCTTTGGGTCACCAAGTCTTTCTGAATGGTCAAAATGGGTCCCCATCTGGAAACGGTTGGGAACCTCTGCTCTAGACCCTATCCCAGCCCTCCAGCTTACCTACCTCTCCCACCCACTTAGTGTCATCTGAAAACTTGCTGAGGGTGCAAACAGCCCATCATCCAGATCGCTAATGAAGATATTGAAGAAAACTGGCTCAGGATCGACCCCAGGGACACACTGCTTGATACTAGCTGCCAACTAGACAGCGGGCCATTGATTAGGGATGTAATAGTACAGCTGATTAACCGATAAGCAAAAGCTTATAGGTTAATGCTATAGAGCGCGCACATTTCCCTCCCCAGCCCCGCCAGAAATTTTTTTAGCAGGCTGGACAGCAACATGGCTTAGTCCTGGCTCATGCCAAGCTCACAGGGCCTTCTCCTGCTGTGGCTCCATATTTAAAGTGTATTAGGAGCTGGGCAGGCAGACAGCTCAGCTCAGTTCTGGCTCGCACCAGATCTGGGAGCACAGACACCCCCCCACCCCAGACAAGGGCTGCTGCCACCTGTGCTGCTACCTCTTTATCAGAGGCAACAGTACAAAGTGACAGACAGCAGGTCCTTGAGGGAGGTTGGTTTTTAAACTGGATCTCCTTGCAGACCAGCTCCTGCCTGGCACCCCATGCTGCTGCCTCTGATACAGAGGCAGCAGCACAGTGTGGCAGGGGGCTCCTTGGGAGTGAGGCACACTGGCTGCTGGCCCTGCCCTCAGGAATTATAGAATAGTCGACAAACTGATAAGAATTCGTGAGGTTACTCAACTATTCCATTAACCGATATTTAACATCCTACCATTGATCACTACCCGTTTAGCCCGACAATCTTGCCATATCGTAAGTGTGCATAAGGTTGTGTTTCTCTCCCTCAGATGACATCACCAGCACAGCTGACAGCAATAAAAATCAACACCTGACACCAGAACTAAAGCATTGCTGCAGCACCTGGCCTCCAACTGGATTCTTCAGGAACAGGCTGTAGATCAGTGGAAGACTGGGCACCAATGCTACGGAATTGCTTGCAGACAAGTCACTGTTGTATGTGTTAAGTATTGCCCAGTGTTGAGATGCACAAAATTTTCCAGGCCAACTTCTATGAGATTTTTCCCATTTACTATCCAAGAGACCAGAATAGCAGAGAACAATTTACACAAAAAACTCCCCACACTTCTTTCATATAAAACACAGCAGCACTCTGTTTCTTTCATGAAAGGGTGCTAAGGCATCGTGCTATCAGCCCTGAGAAGTAGTTATTTGTACAAAACAAGGTGTGTGAACACCATAACCCGGAAACATTTGGGTAGACACTAGCAGATCCCACACAGCTTTGTAGGGACATCGGAGAGAACCCTTTCATGTGCTACAGGAACATCATACCACAGAATCGTTCATGCGATACACATGCCTCTCCATTTCTAGTGCAGGGAAAGCAAGCATGGTAGCTGAAGATGGAGGGGAGCGGGATTCTGGAGACCTGCAGGGCCAAAGAGGCCATAAAAGCTATTAGGCTCACACAATTTCATATAGCATTTAACTTAAAACTCTAATGAAAATTAAGGCAGTAAATGCGTGTGCAGCGAAGTGACGTATCCACATGTGGTGCACTGTTTTCTTACTTTTATGCTTCCCAAAACCAATAAAACCATATCTTAGTCAAATCCAAGCCAATTTTCCCCTGAATGGAATGAGTTTATAACAAATGCAGACATTTCCTATCTCTAAAGTTACTCAGAAACAAACATACAACTATTTGGGACAGGTGTTAAGAATTAAGCAGGGCAGCTGCTATGGCAACTGTACCACTGGGCAGCTGAAGAAACATGG